TGTCTTAACGATAGGTGTCATTTTACGTTTCTGAGCCTTAAATGTTATTTCACCACATATATAGCAAAAGCTATCGACAGAATTCACACACTTTCGAGGCATTTCAGATCAGCACTTAAATTAATTTAAAAATCAACTTCACACGATAATTTCAATAGCAACCACGTGCGTACAATTGACAAACTCACATAGGTTATGTTTACTACTTAAGAACAGCTGATGAGAGGGGTGTTATGTAAACAAACATGTGTACCAACTGTTGGTGATGAAATATTTCATTTGTTGAAAACTCAATATACATATATATAATATAATGATACTATATCTTGAAAACAAGAGCTAATATATAATTTTTATGGTCACTTTCGGTTTTAACATGTGGAAATACATTAAAATCATCTAATTTCAACCCCGAAACAAAAACTTTGTTGTGTTGTGAAATATCTACAAACACGTGCCTACGGTTTGATTGTTGTTGTCCTGGGTGTTGGTCCAATAGTTCTTTTCATTGATATACAGCATTTCACTCAGTCATTCAGTTCCGACAAAGTCTCATTTGCCATATTCTGGAGATTGGACCTAGACTGATCCACTCGAACTCTGTTTCTTGAAGTATAGGGGTGGGTTGTAACATTTACCTGGCCACTTTGTTGACGGTGGTGATCTGCTATTTCTATGTCATCTTGAAAAATTACATAGAAACAGCAGAAAACCCCAGAAACACCGGTAATTATAACCATAACACAGACAAAATCAGCAGAATTCTCCGCCAACACAACATATCAACATCATTCGTACCAGAACATTTTTGTGAGGCTGCTGGCACAGCTGCCTTTATAATAAATACTTCAATCTCTGTTGTTTCATAGTCGCGGATCATGCAAAGAAGGGGTTCCGAACTTCTGATGACCTTACAGGCTCCATCCATTCACGTAGACGTTCAAAAATCCAAGACTCTTTGTTATTGTGGAAGCATAACCGTGGAACGGACGATTTGGACAAACACAGCGCATCATTTTTCTAGTTTTCACGTCGAGTTAAGAGTTTTTTCCTAGTCCACTGCACAACGATGAAAGTGCAGAATAAGATTGGAACGGAAATCATATTTTTTCTTTCCGACGACCAGATCTGTCGAAATTTGTGCTGTTACTTGCCGCGAAGAGAGTTATTCACTCCGAGATCTAGATAACTTTCCACCTACGGTCTGCACATCCACTGTTGTTAATACATTTGTTTATTTCGAATTCCATATCGATAGCACGCATATGTGCTAAGTGGAAGAACTGTTTATTTTTATTGCCCTTAGATAAAAATAAACTGAAGTTCGCCTTTTATTTCCCTGTTGTTATTTTCCCTATTGGAGTTAATAGTTCAAAAAACAGGCATGATTTTGCAAATCAAGAGTGAGGAGGACCATCAAAGACCCCAATAATAAGAACAACCATCTTAACAGAGTGGCTTGGCTAGATCTACGAATTTGTATCAGTTTTCCTTGCTCTTTTCGGGCGATATTCGTTTTACCCAGAGCTGGAAAATCGACAAATATCCTCTTGATCGATTGGTGAATAAGAATTACAATAGGCTTATTAGCTTGTTTCTATCAATGAATTGATGGATGTTACCGTTACTACTTGGTAGAAAATCATCATGAAAAATGAGAATTGAAAATATTTATGTTTTTTATCACTTTTATTCGTAACTAGTGTATTGTTTGAAACTAGTGTATGAGTTTGAAAATATCCTTATAGGATGAAGCTGCAGTAACGTTAGTTACAAATAAGAGTGGTAAAAAACATAGAAAGTTTCATTATCAGCTTGTATGTATTATTATTATTAGTATTATTGAATTATAATTTTTCGAAGCAACGTCATATCACATCAAACAGTAAGGACTTTCCAGGACTTCCAACAAGGCATGCATTCCCGCCGTAGTCGCTGATAGTTTCACGAGCCGTGTTATCAGGAACCAATCAATCCTAATAAACCGCGCTAGTTGGATATTACAAGTCGGGCATCCATTAGAAGGGCTTCCGGCGAGCTCCTGCGTCTTACCTCACTTCCGGAACTTGGCCTCCGGAGCCCGGAATAATTCAGGACCAACTTGCCACTTTAAGCCTTAATGAATAGGTAATTAGTTAATATTGTGCCGGCTTCCTGTTGTCCACCCTTTTCGCATATACGTAGAGGTCGTCTTGGGACCCATTACCAGGACCCTGTTCCGAACTTGCTATTGTTCGCCGAAGAAAGGATTCCGATTGAATTAACTCTAATCGGAGAAGATTATTATGGATCGAACCGGGCCGGTTGGTGTGTCTTCTGCGATGGAGTTTGGATGTAAATAACTTCGGAACGCTACCGATTCTGTGTAACTTAGTAGTTTAGCTCTCAAGAAGTTGATAGATTTCGGGGCCCACACAAATCAACATGCTTATATTTCAAATATCTCATCCTGAACAACAACAGGTAGCTCAGAAGTGATACAAATTTAGATCGAAGAGGGTATATTTTCAAGAGAGATCAATTTTTGGGGAAAAAAGGTTTTGGCTTCCCACTGTTCCATCTTCATACAAGAAAAATAAAGGTTTTGTCAATACGAATATTGAAAACATTTCCCACACTTTAGTAATTATGGAAAAATATTAATGGAATGTTTTATTCACCTTCACCTTCCTTTGATTATTTCCAATCTAGCAGAAGTATGAAAAAAACTTTCAAATATTTTTTGTAGATACTTCTTTTTGTTTTCGGGATTCGTTGTATATAACGGGTAATTTTTTAAGAGTTATAGGATTTGATTTTCAAAACAACACAAAAAATTTGAAAAAAGTGATGAAATCTTTATTGGAATCTATAGAACGATCAATATAATTCAATGTTTGAAGATGATTTCATGCAAATGTTATCTGCGGCTCCACAAGGACAACATTTGCATGTCCATGCACAAAGTCCAAATTTGGCACACTCTCTCTAACATTTCTACCGGTATTTCACGTATAAATGCTTCAATATTGGTTCCAGAGCGTCAGTCGTTGCTGATTTATCCCTGTAGACATGAGCCTTAACATGACCCTACAAGAAATAATCCAAAGGCGTTAAATCACACGATGTAGGCGGCCAATTGACAGGCCCCAAACGTGAGATAAATTGTTCATCGACGGCCGCTCTTAATTGGGCCATTGTTTCGCGTGCCGTGTGGTATATGGCACCGTCTTGTTGAAACCACATATCAGGCATGTCCAATTCTTCCATTTTGGGCAACAAAAAGTCGTCAATCATCAGACGGTAGCGCTCGCCATTAACAGTAACGTTCCGGCCATTGTCGTCTTTGAAGAAGTACTGCCCGATGATGCCACCGACCCATAATATTCTATTCTATTCTATTCTAATTCACACCAAACAGTGACTTTTTCGAGATGCATCGGTAGCTCATGCAATGCTTGTGGCTGATCTTCACTCCAAATGTAGCAATTTTGCTCGTTAACGTATCCATTCAACCAGAAATGAGTCCCGTCGCTGAACACAATTCATCCATAAAAATGTGGATCTTCCGCCAACTTTGCCAGCACCCATTCACCAAATGTTACACGCTGTGGGAGGTCGTGTGGCTTCAATAGCACCAGCTGTATCTTATAAGATTTTACACCCAAATCCTTTCGCGAATCGACATTTCACGGTCATCACGAACACAAGCGGATACAACCGCAATATTTTCTTCGGTTCTCACTCTACGTATACGTGTTGGTGGTTTAATGTCCAATAATGTAAACTGGGTTCAAAATTTGATCACAAGCTTCCGAATAGCTCCCTCAGTAGGCCGACGAAACTGCCTATAAATTGGAAGAAGTGCATGATGCACTTTCTTCACCGAGCATGAATTTTGATAATGAAATTCAGTAATTTGCAAACGTTGTTCATTCGTAAGTCGATTCATGGTTAAATTATAGACCAAACTGAACAAGTTTGACAATGATACAAGACACGATTCACGCGCGATCTGTCAAAAACAGTGTTGCCACTATCAAAAAATTGGGTTCTTCCAGCAGGGAGTTCCAAACTTTTTGCTTTCCACATGTCTCTTCTGTACCATTCACGATTCTGATTTGTTGCAGATTCTTTGGCTCAGGAACTGGAAATGGAGAGGAAGTCCAGACAGCAACAGACAGAACGAGAAGTGAAGTCACCACTTCAAGATCGTTCAGCCTATTACAAGAACTCAGTTATGTTCACCAGTAGCGCAACATGAAACGAGTGGATTCCACCAAATAAATCAGATTTTGTACAGTGGCAAATATAACTTCTCAGATATATAAGTTGAAACAGAGACGGTTTCAACGAAATAGTGAATCAGATTTTGTATTGTAGCACTTTTTTCAGCACGAGTTTCGAATATATGAAGTGTTCGCTTGGGAAAGAGCTACAGTGCAATTGATACACCCAATCAGATCAAAGAGTGAAGTTTCACAGCCGGAGATACTAGTGTCAAAGTTATTTTCCGGGTTTTTAGCCGTGTTCGAGTTTCTATACCTGACGTTTCGTCCACTACTGCACCAAAGACGATGAGGTAACAATCAAAGTGCTTGAGTTATTTCCAACTGCAATGCTGAAGTTAGTCTTGGATTTTATATCATCATATGTGGGCGTGGATTCAATGACAAATTTGTGTTCAATTGAGGGCAGGAAGCCAGATTATATTGATGTTCATTGCCTCTTCCTTTCTATTGAAATTATCCGTGCGTTTTTGTATTTGTTTTGTCTTTCTATACAGGGTCTTTATTTAAAATGCGGCAAAAATTTGAAGGACTCTTCCTTAGACTTTTCTAAGGATATTTTGTACTTGATGATTTTTGGTAGGATGCTTCGTTTCGAAGATACGAAGCGAGCGAAAAAAATTCGACAATGAAAATGTATTACCGAAAATTACATGTAATGTTTCTTAATCTACAAGAACTGTTGAAAATGACTCCCCTCCCCGCTCGAATGCTAGAATCATCCATTATTCCCCTCATCGACTCCCGAACTCTTTCAAAAACACCAGGATTGTTTCTGATTCCGTTACAGCCAGCAATTATCCGATTTCTAAAATCTTCCACATCGTCCACTGGAGTAGTATAAACTTATAACTTCAGGTGGCCCCATAGGAAACCCAGGAGGTTCAGTTCCGGTGATGGAGCAGGCCATACGTGAGGTCCACCTCGACCAATCCAGCGATCTCCGTATGTTACTGTTAAAAACACTCGAGCCAATATGCTAGAATGTGCTGGTGCACCATCGTGCATAAATCATATTGCATTTCTTGTAAACAATGGTACATCCTCCAGAAACTGAGTTAGCGTTTGTTTCAAAAAGTTGCGGTATACCTCGTTGGTAAGTTTTCCTGGCAAAAATACCGGTTCAATTAAGAAGTCAGCTACGATTTCCACCCAAACGTTTAACGACAACTGATGTTGAAAGCTATCTTCAAGCACCTCACGTGGATTTTCTTCAGCCCAAACATAGTCATTGTTGAAATTCCTTGTGGCATTTCTTGAGAAACTGACTTCATCGGTAAAAAAATAAGCGTCATTAGATGAGCGATTTGAACCAACGTGCGCAAAAGCCATTGATAGAATGCGATACGTGGAAGAAAATCTGCAGGAAGAAGTACCAGAACTCGTTGTTTGTGGTATGGGTACAACAAATAGTCTCTAAGAATGTTCCAAATCGTCCCGTTACTTACATTTCCAGTATTTGCAATTTTTCCAGTAGAGGTACCTGTATCTTCTTCTATCATGGCCAGCACATTCTCTTCTACTTCTACCGTTTTCACTGTCATCGGCCTTTCTGGTCCACCATTTCGCTTCAATGCTCGCATTTCACAAAGTCAGCCATCTGTGCATTACTATAGCCATTCGTGATAGAGGAATTCACTAACAAGGCTTTAAATATCAAACACAGAAAATGCACGTCAAATAGACAAAATCAATCAGTTTCAACCTAATCGGAATGTTGTTGAAATGTTAGATTTTTTTATTGGTTGGTAGGTTCAGTGTAGTTGTACTTTTATATCGACTACGTTAATAATTTCAAAATTACAAAAATTGTTATTGTCGAATTTTTTTCCGCTCCGTATTTTCGAATCAAAGCGCCCTATCGAAAATCATCAAAGAACAAAATATCCTCAGAATGGTCCAAGGACTAGTCTCTTGAATTTTTGCCGCATGCTCAATAAACACTCTGTATATTATTGGATAGTAATTTTTAGTTTTATCGCGACAAATTCCAGCTTTAAGAAACAACTCGGGTACTACGACCGACATCTCATCGCCTTTGATGATGTCTACCGCAGTTGTAGACGAATTGTCAGACACAAAAGCTGCAGACTATGGCAGAAAACTGGAAAATGTCTTTAACATATTTAGGTGTCTGATATTTTTCAAATATTGTTTCATTTCATGGTATGCTGTTATTTTGGAATGATATGTTGAATGATTTCAAAAATCGATTGAAGTTAATTGTCCGTTCATTTATTCTTCTACATTAAGACTGACTTTAGAATGCTTTAGAAATCATGTTAACACGAAAAAGTTCATCCATTTTTTTTTGGAATATGTTACTTGTTTTGTTCTCACTTCAGAAAATATTGAAAACTTATCCGTGAAGAGTAATTCATTGCCTGAACTTAAAAAATTCCATGTTTTTTAGAGCTAGATGAAACTGGGGTTTTCCCTGAAAATTACTCTAAGAACCCTCTGACTTCGGGTTTAATAGTGTTATTTCTTTCGGAAAATGGTTTGATAATACGAGTATACGCCTTTGTGACAATCAGTGTCATTACTTCATTCATGACATCAAGTAATAGTTTTCTGAATTCTCATGAAATGTTTTGTGGAAATCTAGTTAGATGATCCGATGTCAAAAGGTATTTCTCAGTAAAAGGTCTATAGTCTATAGCTTCTCCAAGAACGGTTTCAAGACTAGTTAATCTCAAAAACTCATTTCCCATTATTCTCCTGATTGAAAAAATTGACTTCTGCAGACTTTGAGATTTTTTGCTATAAACTTTATGGAAATAACTCAATCTGTTACCGTTACTCTTTTGATTCAGTCCAATGAATGCGTTTTTTGGTTTGTTTATTGTCTAATCCTCACACTCATAATATCAGTTTGATAAACTATTATTCCAGATCCGTTCCTAAAACATTAAAATAATCATCATCTGAAAGGCATGTTTTGTGAGAAAGTGATTATATTTCTTCACAACCTGAAAAAGAATTGAATCCAGATTGATGGACAATTCTGTCAAAATCCTTGTCACTTTTTAATAATTATTATAGTTTCAACTCCTGTCCCACGAATAATCTGAGTGCAATACATAGAAGCTAATAAAAACTGTATGTACAATATTCTGTAATCTGTATTTTACAATTAAGAAATAGCGTTTAGTACATTTTTCAACTGGCATATACACAGTTCATACGTATCAAAACTTTCCAGAAATTAATGTTAGATTACATGTAAGGGCAGTATGTGTGTATTTATTGTAAATATTTATGTATGTGTGTGCCTTGTAGAGAATAAAATAATAGAAATTTCGATAATATTTGTTTTATTCAAGATTGCTCACATTTCCTTCACATTTCTTATTTATTCCAGAAAAAAGTATATAATGTATAGAGTTTAAGTAAAGAAATTTTGAATTATACATTTTTATAGATTTCGATGTGAAATTTTCAACAAGTTCAATAACTGTTCAAATTCAGTTTTTTCTATTGATTGGGAAAGGGATCAAAAATGTTCGTAGACAAACAACTTAGTTTCATGCCAACGTTTCGGACTTTCTCAAGTCCATCATCATGGCTCTATAATAAAATAATTTAATACATATATGCCAATACATATTGCAAAATTTATGGAGTTTATACAATATATTATGTAAAAGAGAAACAAACAGGTGTATTTACGAAACATTAGTTTTTAATGTCAAAAAAACGTTTAAAATATATGTGTCAGACAACATTGGTACAAACGATATCAAGGGAGACAGACTGATTAGAAATGATTAGAAACTATAAACAGTAGAAGGATATCAGACTACACTGGATGATGGAAACTTATGTGTATTAAAATATTAAGGAATACGATTTAGCAAATTAAAATAAGCACTATTCAGTCCTTCTGTGTCCGTTCTAGTGTTAACACTAGACACTCAACAGTCTTTTACCTGATAAACGTTGAATATCTGAAATCTTGGGGTTTGCAGAGTCAAAACTGTGGTTGTTTTCTCTTGTGTGTTCAACCAGGGCTGTTAGATTGGCAACATTCAACTTCCTTGTATCTCTTTCATGTTCAGACAACCTGTTTTTTAAGTAACATATGTAGGGCAAACGGGACGTTTGACGAAAACCGATACCTGGGTTTTTGTGCCATTGAATTGAACTTGAACTTGAACTGGTTACTTCCAACCCATGTCAAGATCCCTTCTAGGTCCTCATTAAGAAATGCAACATCCTGCTGCCGGTGAAAATTTGTCGATGTCTTGGAATACAAATGGAATGCCGAGACAATTGTACTGTCGTCAGCAAAGCAATATATTGGATTCTTGTTTTCTTCCAATAAGTCGTTGATCTACAACAATAAGAGGGTTGGAGACGATATGAATCCCTGGGGAACACCAGCGTTGATGGTGATTTCTGTAGATATCTACAGAAATGATTCGACAAGCCATAGCATCAAAGTTTGGCCAGCAAACCCTCATGTCACACACGGTCAAAGGTCTTAGAAATATCAAGCGCAACAGCTCTTGATTCTCCAGTCTCCCCAAAAAATAACCTTTTCAATTTCAATAGCATTTTTAGATTCTGTAAAAAGAATACACACTGAAAAAATTGTATTACTTTGAAGAAAATATGGTTGGAAAAGAGCATTATTATTATTGAAATGTTTTATGCAGGTTGTATTGAGTATTATTTTGCAAAAGGTAATGCAATTCACACGAAACGGACAAAAAATCAGTTTAATTCATTTCAACTTAAATTCTGCATAAGGGCTGAACATTTTATTTGGAAATACCGTTCGTGATATTTTTTTGTATATTTTGAGAATATACTTCACTTTTGACTATTACTTTTCTGGAAATTCGCCAAAGTTAAACTTTGAATGAAACTATTATTTACAAAATTTGTGTCATTTAAAAATTACTTTTACTTTGCAATTTCTGGATTTTATGTTGAATCAGATATAATTTATTTATTTATTTGTATATTCGGCATACAAACAGAAAAATCCACTTCAGTATCCACATAATTGAATTAATAATAAATCATAAGTAACCTACAATATTTTTCAACTTTATCAATTATTTGGTGAATCGCTCTCCGGTTCCTCTGATATACATATGTTTTGAACTCTCTTTTGAATTTTGATATCGATTGTTGAATTTTTATTTCATCAGGAAAATAATCTAAGATCTATAATTACTGCTATTGATGGAATACCTTTATCTAATTTGAAAGGGTTAGGAGTGATTATCTTTTATCCATTTTACCATAACACCACTCACACCGACTTCAGCAAGTCTCCGAAGTAATGTATTATGACTAATTTTGTCAAAAGCCTTGCTAAAAAGATATAGTGATTATATAGTGATTATCTAACGGCCCTTTATCTAATGCATTGTATATGTCTCCAGTTAAGACCTGAATTGCGTCCTGGGTAGATTTTCCCTCCCTAAACCCGTATTGTGTAGTTGAAAGTAATCCATATCTGTTAATGGATTTGCTCAATCTAGTTTTCAAAATTTTTTCTAGTATTTTGGCGAGGTTTGAAATTAAGGAAATAGGTCTATAGGTACTCATATCAGTTTTATCGTCGCTTTTATAAATAGGTGTAACTACCCTCAACTTGAAGGCAGAGGGAAATTCACCTGTTTCCAGAGATTTATTAATTATAATATTTAATGGTTTTTTTTATATAGTCTGCTATGAGTTTTAATGTTTCTGCCTTTAAACCGTCGATTTCCGGAGCCTTTTTATTTTTCAGTTCAGATATAACATTTTTTATTTCCTGTTCATCCGTCGGATTAAAAAAAATAGTTTTCACATGAATTTTTTCATGTTCTACAGAATTTAAGAGCTTCTCAATTCGTTTTGCTGAGTTTTTGCCGATATTAATGAAAAAATCATTGAATTTCTCTGCGATTTCAGAAGGTTCGTTTATCATCCTGCCGTTTTGATCTCTAACGGTTTTTGTTTCTTCAATCTTCTGGATATTCAACATTCAACAACATGTAATGCAACTACATTTGGAAAAATGAAGATATAAATCGTTTTATTTACAAAATTCAAATAATTTTTTTGTGTCACTCTGAATTCTCAAGCAATCCGACAAGGACTTTATTTGAAGATACATTTTCAAATCATCAGCATAATTCAATGTTATTAATATAGATAATAAAAAATAACGGCCCTAGATGGGACCCTTGTGGTACTCCAGAAAGTGTTGGGTAAGGTTCAGATGAATAAATGATGATTATAAAATATGATTCAATCCATTTTACCATAACACCACTCACACCGACTTCAGCAAGTCTCCGAAGTAATGTATTATGACTAATTTTGTCAAAAGCCTTGCTAAAATCTGTATAAATAGTGTCAACTTCAATTTTCTTATCCATATTATTATGTAAAAATTCAGAGTAACAAAACAGCATATTGAGAAATTATCATTTAATTTATTTATTTTCAATAATATTCCCATTGAACAATAAAATATAACTTTCATCCTCAAATTGACTTCATATTCATCTTGTCCACGCTATTATCGGACGTAATGGAAATTCTTGATTGGAACTTAACGAAATGGAATATCAAATAAACGATGTCCAGATGGAAAACTCAATGAATGTAATGAAATTTCAGACTCGAGATTACGAATTCCAGAGGGGATATTTCTGCAAAACGGAGTATGGTCCAAGTGATTTGATATCATATTCGCGCTAATATTAAATTGTTGAATCCACTGACATTTTTGACCGAGGAATGTATCGGTATTTAGATGGTATTCGCTAGTTAGCTGAAAATCAGCAGCAATGCATTTCTCTTTAACGAAATTGCCTTGATTCTTTGGATTTTTGAAGATTATAATGTTTTATTTGGACGTGTCGAGTAGTAATATAAATAGTTGGAGGTGCATGACTTTTGTCTTCTTAACCTTTCACGATCAGCAACAATAATAGCAACATTGAATGAAAATGAATCAATTGATACAATTTATCTTATGATTTTCACTATAAAAGGTTTTACAAAAACCGCGACACATGTTTCGCATTGTTCGCATTGATAAACGCTTGAGAAAGCTATTGTATAGCGAATAACGTGTCGCGGTTTTTGTAAAACCCTTTATAGTGAAAATCATACAATTAACTGTATTGATAAACTGCCTTCAATAGAAGCTGTTTTATTTTTCGAACAGTTTTTCCCTTTATTTCTCACATTACTCTACATCAATCCACCATATTATCTTCCTATTCAAGCGGATATTCTAAACAGATACCACACACAGCAGATTAATCAAACCCACTTGAATTGTATGAAAACATATTCAGGGGATGAAGAATAAATCACGAGACAAGAATCCATTACGGCCGCTGAATTAACGTCATCTTGAAAAGAATTAAACGAATGGAATTAATTATAAGATTGATGGATTCCTGAAATCTTTATGCGCCATACAGCCGTAGTTTTAAGATCTGCCTTTAATCACCCGCATTTCTCCCAAATTCATTTCGAACTCATTTCGTTCCATAATCGAAAAATCAATAGCACGGGAGAGTTTTTGTTCGAGGATATTCGTTAAACTGATGAAAAATATAATTTATGTAACAAGTCCAGAAACTACGGTTTTTTTTGGACTAGTATAACAAAACACTTTCAGACGTGTTGCGTACACTATTTTTTCAGCAAAAAACATCAATGAAACCCATTTTTTCATGATATTTGTAGAACAGTATTCCGAATATTTCAATTCTTATTTGTAATAAATATTGGAATTTGAACGAAAGATATATGGTATATTTAAATGCTTTTTGTTGAAGTCGGAAAAATAATGTAAAGTTTCTGTTTCAAATTGATTGTTTTCATCTGATAATTTCTTAACGGTCTTGGCGAAGCGGTCTTGGCGAAGCACAAGTTCAATTTTGTTTGTAAGTGAACTGTCTATATATCCTTCAGCAACATTGGTAGACTTCCAACCACCGTGTTTATTCAAATTTGTGATGTTTCCACCATTATCAGCTAAAGCTGAGACGAATGTGAAATGTTCAGGGTTACGTAAATTTGAAAATTATGCGATTCCTAATCTGAAATGCCCAAAACTGTGGATACCAACAGGCTGAATCGATTTTTTTTCGTAATTCACAAATAATCTTTCATGACGAGTAAAGTATGGCCGTCAACATAAATATTACGTATATCCACCAAGTTTTCTTGCCCAATTATAACAAGAATTCTCTCAATAAGTTGGTCGTTTTTCGCTTGATTAGAGGTTTCCATATGTTACGT